ATTTATTTAAATTATTTGTAAATATTAATGAAACTGAAAAATGTGTATTCATAATATTAATATAGAAAATTGATAATTTTTTTTAAAAAATAACATTGCACTTTACCGATTGTCAATGAAATAATTCTTAAAATTGGTATTTGAGTATCACCAACATGAAACATCTTGCTAAAAGAAAGGATGCTAACTATTCATTAGATTATTAGCAACAAGAATCATGTTGCCGAAAATTCAAAAAACTATCAGCAACAAGTGACTTGTGTTGCTGAAAATGAGGCTGAATTCTAATGCCGGATTTCCATTTTTTTTCACCGGTTTACCACTCATTTTTAGCAACATGAGCCACGTTGCTGAAACTCCATCTTTAGCAACGTGGCCTATGTTGCTGAAGGGGGTGAGAAATTTCTCCTCCACCAGTCACCGGATTTCGGTGAAAATTTTCAGCAACATAAGCTATGTTGCTGATACTTTTTTTTCAGCAACATAGCTTATGTTGCTGATATATTAGCAATATGATTTTGGTTGGTAATGTATTACCCACCAAGCCTTCTCCAATAAAGCTTTTAGCAAGTAAACCCATGTTGCTGAAGGACTTTCAGCAACATGGGAACCACTTTCAGCAACATGCTTCCATGTTGCTGAAACTAAGGATTTTAGTAGTGGACATTAATTTATATACATTTTGATTTAATATACTACATAATATATTTATTAAAAAATTATTATTTTATTATTAAAAATTAAAAATAAATAATCTTAAAAATATAATTATACATACAAGATATAGAAATTAACTTAATTAAATTATATTTATATTATATTTTAATTAGTAAACTAGATAAATATTAAAATATATGTTAAACTGAGTGTGTATTAATTATTTTTTTAACTTTTAATAATAATTCCTATTTTTGAAAAAAAAAAAAAATCTGTTTTGTAAATTACATTGCTAATACCAGGCCTTAACTTTTTATTCCTCAATTCATGTGGGTTATGTCAAGTAGTGTTGTCTCCTATGGGTTATGTAAACTATAAAGCTGCGGTTGACATTTTTTTATCATATTTTTTTCTTATTTATTAATTTATTTATTTTATTATTAATTTTTAAATAAAATTTTTATTGTTTATGATTTCGGGTACGTGAGGCTCCCAACAAATTACAAAAGAAGAACAATATATATATATATTATACTATTACTTCAAATTAAACATCTACTGTTCTAACACACAT